TTATTGAAAACAGTTACAGAGTTAAATAGTTTACCAAAACTATGACAATTATACAACAATTATCGAGCTAGAATAAAACACTTTTATAAAAGTTGTTTTGTTATACCAGCGGTTCCGATTTTGCTTTGACGAACACTATGAAAGGATGCTTTTGTTGTTCCCACAGAGCATAATTTATTTTTAATCATCGTTCTGAGAACAAAAAAGCTAAATATCGCGTCTTCTGTCACAATTTTAAAAACATAATATATAGTTATGTCTGAATGTACACCAGCCATATTGCATTTAGCTCTGACCATAAATAGCCAATCTTTTAGCTCTGACCATAAATAGCCAATCTTAGGTAAGAAATTCGATATGCCATCTGAGGATTGATATTTTACTGCGAGGAAAATTTTTTTGTATATAAAATGGTTTTGATCTTTAAGAAATTTTTATAAAATATTTAAATTATAAGCAATGTTTTAATTAAACAGGGGCGTATTTCAGAAAAAAACTAACCATATTATATACATGTAGATAAAAGAGCTTATGTAATATTCGCACTAACTCTATGCATTTGTCAAATTTCGAGTTGAAGTCTTGGCCTTACTGATACTGATAAGATACAAAATGAAGGAATCTGTCATGACATACAGCGTGCCGCCACTTTCAAAATAATATTTCACAAACTTTCTTATTGGGCTTTTGCACTAACATCATTAAACTTTTTTTTAATGCTTGACATGTGTCAATTTTCGTGTTGCAATATTGGCAGTACTAATAATGATAACGTACTCACAAAATGAAATAAAAAATTCCTATGTTCCTATGGTAATACTTATTTTTGTTCTAAATGCCAGTAAGTTTTTGATGTAATATCAATGTTTGTTTTTCGTAAATTAAAAGTCCACAAATTTCGCATATATTTTTGAAATCGCTAATAATTACATATAAAAATGCATGCATTTTCTTTACCTTTTAACGTACGAATAAAAAATCGCATAGTTTTCGATGTGATTTGTTTACAGTAGGTACAGGGTGGGTCAAATTCGACGCTTTTAAATGGAAACACCCTTTTCTATAGAAGATAGACAAAAATTAATATCGGTGTCTGGAGCTCAATTTTTGTCAAAACATGTTGGTGAAAACCACATATCGATATCTGTTACCGTTTCGGAGTTACGGGGTGTTTTTCAAAAATATGCATTTTTAACAAATCGCTGTAACCTTTTTGCTATGGAAAATTTTGTATTTTTATGAAAACATTTCCAAAGCACCTTTTTACGTAGAATTTAGTGGTTTAAGTATAATTTTTTTAAAATTAATAATTTAAGAATTATCAACAGAAAATTTTTATACGGGACACCCTGTATATTTTTAATTTATTGAAAAGAATTTAAAATTACCTTTCCAAAAATATGACACACTTGATATTTTGCTCGATTCCTCTTCGAGATATAGAGTATATAAAAATTCGCCCGCTTTAAATAAGTAGGCTTTGAACGGCAACGGCTGTAATGCAAAAAAATTCTAGCTGTGAGCATCAATTAAAACGAAAATAATATTTGCTATGACAGATGCCAGAATTTTATAACAATTTAAAATATATTTAACCAACATCAACACATTTGAACTATATCTAATAACAATAAAAATAAATAGCAAACCAAGACATCAGATTTTGGTACAGGTGTTCGACATATCGACTCTCTTCTGTTATGGACAGACGGAGCAGATTTTGAAAATTTCTTGCGGAATTCATTAACTCGGTGGGGGTGAAAGATACCCTCTTATACTGCTAAGTATTTTTAATTTGTGTATAGATATACGGAAGAATAAGGAACCTTTATTCTTCCGCAAATATATAGGATTAGATCCATGGGCACTAAGTCAGGCGGCCTCGACGGCCAACGGCTGGGATCTTGTTTAGCTATCCAATTATTCTTGAAATTGGCTGCAAAAATTTGCTGATAACTTCAGCGTTCAGAGGCGGTGCGTCGTCTTGCTCGAAAAAAATATATTTTCGAGTTCCATTAAGGGCATATCACCAATAAGGGGTCCAAAGCCTACTAGTTAAAAGTGGCGAACTTTTAAAAATTCTGTATTTCGAAGGGGATTATAACAAAATATCAAGTGTGCTATATTTTTGCAAAGGTAATTTTAAATTATTTTCAATAAATTAAAAATATACAGGGTGTCCCATATAAAAAATCAAATTTTTTGTTGATAATTCTTAAATTATTAATTTTAAAAATTATACTTAAACCATTAAATTTACTGTAAAAGGTGCTTTGGAAATGTTTTCATAAAAATACAAAATTTTCCCAAGCAAAAAAGTTACAGCGATTTATTAAAAATGCATATTTTTGAAAAACACCCCGTAACTCCGAAACGGTAACAGATATCGATATGTAGTTTTCACCATCATGTTTTTGACAAAAATTGAGCTCCAGACACCCATATTAGTTTTTGTCTATCTCCTATAGAAAAGGGTGCTTCCATTTAAAAGCGTCGAATTTGACCCACCCTGTACATAATATACACTGTGTCCGTAAAGTAACGGATAGATAAAAAATGATATCACGTGGTACTACAATTTTTTAAATGGAAAGCCCTGTATATTTTGATGAATATCGATAGAGCTCATTAAGACGAATTCAGTGATATAAGGGTTGATAGGTCTATTTTGAATGGTTGCTAAGAAACAAATCTTGATGGTTGCTAAGATAAAAACAAAACGTCAGATTGAAAATCTAATAACATCAACTTGTAGAGCAGGAAAAGTAGGAATGGGAATGTGAAATTTGCATTGTCGCATAAAACAAAATCACATCAAATAAAATGAGAAAAAAATAAGATTGAAATCGGGAAAATTCGGTGTTTCCCAAATATCTTCGGAATTTTAAAACATCATATTGCAGGATTCAGCAAGGCGCAACTTTTCTCTAATTTAATCATCTTTGTAAATCTTCTGGTTTATGAGATCCCTGTAGTGTGCAATGCACACTGTGCATTCTTGTATGGGACACCGTGTATGTATGTAATTTACTGCATCTTACTTTTTATCTATTTTACATATACATAGTGGTCAAGGGTAAAAGAAATTTACCTAACTCCGGCTCTGATATCTCGCAATACGTTTTTGCTTTCGTTTTCATACGTCTGCGTCCCTCCAGGTGGCGCATAAGGCCAGGAGTAAATAGTCGCCTATATGACGCATATTCAAATTAACTGTTTTATATAAAACACTTATAAAACATTAACAAAACGGTTAGTATCTATGTTGATTAATTGCTCCGGTTGCAACCGTTATATCAATATGTCGTAGATGCGGCAACAACAGAACTAATTTGTGTTTAGTGCAACATATCTGTTTCAGAAACCTAACCTCATTATTCTTCTATTTAGGATATTTTAACGGAATGCTATTTGAAGCTTAAAAGTTCTAGGGTCTTGGGGAAGCATATTAGGAAAGGCATTTATATTATATTTTTAAATAAAGCCCTTAGCGCCACATGTAGTACATTAAAAGACACAGCCCACGTTCTAATATTGTTTATAAGCTTTGTGTTCTTTTCTGCATTGACTATATCCTCAGAATGTTCCTCATCCTCACGCAATTCATCTAGCTCTATTTCCCAGTTATTTATTTCTTCTTCGAGATCTCTCTTCTGAACCTCGTAATAAAAGCATCATTTTCAGTGGAACTACTTCGTTCATCAGCAATTGAAGAGAAAACGTTTTGTTCACTTGAGTCTTCTTCCTTTACAGAGAGATCAACTGTTTCACGAACTTCGGTAGCTAGGATATTCTGGTAACACTTTTTTACCTTTCTGTAAAACGCACCACTTCTTTTATGTTTTTTATTATTTTTAATAATTTGAGATTTTGACATGATAAAGCTGTAGTATATTATGACAGGATCAAAGTAGAAAGTAATGGCGTGCAAAAATGTCTATACGTTTTATAAATGTATTATTAAATGCTTGTGTGTCATCAGAATTATTTTTTTGTTTTATAATTATTTCATTAGGTTTTTATTGTGACAGTGTTTGTATTAATTATATACCCATTTTTTAAAGATATTGTCTAAGTAAAATATGCTGTTGTCGGCAATAATATCAGAAAGAAAACTTTTATAAAATAATTTTATAAATATCTTGCGTGACTTTAATAAAAAAAATTTATATATGTTCGCAAACGAATGGCCTAGTGTCGAGTAACAGCGGTACAAATTTATTATAAAACAAATTTGTTCGGTAAGGTAAAATGTCGTATAAAGTACATTGTATAAACGTTTATAAAACAGAATTAAAATTTGTCGTAAGACTGTTCCGTATTTTTGCTTTAAGAACGTTCTTACGACTAATTTATAAAGCAAAATCATTTTAAAAACTAAAATATTTCACTTGCTATTTTAATACAACAAAATGGTGTTTGAAGAGAAGTAATAAAGTAATTATAAAACAGAATAGTACCGAAAGTTAACAATTATAAAATAAGTGTGTTAGTTGGGTTATTTGTCAAATTATATAGAAACCAACGCCAACCCAGCACAATATTTTTTCTACTCGTAATAAATTCCTTGAAATAACAATTTCTGAATATTTTTTAAAACGTAACTCGCTATGGAAAAAAATATTGTTTTATACACGACGATAAAATTGCATTGTCGGCTCCCGAAATTAATTCTTTTCGATCGACGATAACCTACGACTATTATTTGAAATATACTTTTTTAACAACTTTAATAACCAACAACATTTTTATAAGCAACGCAAAACAAAACCAACAAATTATCAAGTCTATACCCTGCACTATTATATTTTATATAGAATTAGAACAGTACTGATAAACCGGAATTTAAGTCCGCCATATTAATCCCCTTTGCGCTTCACGTAAGTTTTTTTATATGCTCTATACTCTATATTTTTTTATATGCTCTATATATTTTTATTAGATTTTACAAAACCGTTGCATTTAATAAATTTAACTACATTGAAATTGTTTTTAGACGGCGGAGATAATATGTACAAGTGTCCGAAATGTCCAAAAAAGTATACTCACAAAACTAGTTTGCATAGACACAAGAAATACGAGTGCAATTCTAAGAGACAGTTCCCATGTCCGCAGTGTGATAAAAGTTTCAACCAGAGAGGAACTCTGTATAAACATCAGGTTTCCATTCACCAAACATTTCCTACCAAGCTAGGGAGGAAATTTCCAAAAAAGAAGGTTTACGAAGAGAATATTATAATAGGTAGATACCTATAAAGAGGGTGTCCCAGGCTGAGCATGCAATAGAAGTTTCTAGAGAACTAAAACATCTAATTGGGAGATTTTTTGCACATTAATGTTTTACAACGTGATCTATCGATTAAAAATATTTTCAATATGGCGACATTTCCGGAAATACCGGAAGTCGACAGCAACTTTCTTATTTTAAATGGATGCCCCCGATATGTTGCCATAATATTAAGATATATTTTTTAACTAAAAATTTAAAAAATCCATTTTTTTTTCGAAAAATAGCAAATTTAAAAAAAATCGCGAAAGAAACCTTCTAGACGTGTTTCTGGGATCGAAATATACCACCCCAAAAATGTTTGTACGAATTTAAGAACATTTTTAGAGCCGCCACAAACGCACAGTTATTTATTTTTATTTTTATTATTAAACACAGGCAGACTGTGCAGGCCAGTCTGCGCAGTTTAACCTGTATTACAGCCTGTCGCACACATACGCAATTTTATAGTACAGTTTTATCTATAATGACCTGAGTTACGGACTCACTATGGCACATTTTTTCTCAGTAAAAATGGCCTCCCGAAATGCACATCTGTCTTGGATTTTATTCGTTTATGCAATAAGTAAAAAAGCAGAAAAACAACGGTTACTTAAAGGAAATAAGTATTGCCATGTTAATCTGCTTGCTAATTTAACAGTTGAAAAACAGGACTGATTTAACTACCTAAGAATGAACGAGGAAACTTCCTTAGAACTACTGAAATTGACGCCTGGAATTGGGAATTGGGCTGGATGAGATGCGAGTGTCTTAAAGCACAAATTACCTATAACAGATGCGAAAGAAAGCGACTGCATCGGAAACCGCTCGGCAAACCCGACACGCCTATTGAGTGGTGTAAATACACCAGTCGTTTAGTCCGGAAACCTATGCTGTGTCGTATTCGCTTGCTGGAATGACATAGTGCGTGGTTATATGTTTCTTTTTAAAAACGCCTGTAGGATTTTTGTTGATCTTTTGAACTGTTATTTCTAAGTTTTGGTAATTTTTATATCTTATTTAAAATGGGATGCAAATGTGTTTATTTATAAGGAAAAAAAAGATATTTATAGTATAAAAAATTAATTTATTTAACAAAATTTAATTAAAAATGTGACAAAATAGTTACCTTTTTATTGGTTCTATAGGACTTTTTTCGACTATATAAATCTTTATTTGTAAACTTTAATACATCAAATATTTTCAATCTAATAAATCATTTAATGATGTAAATAAGAGGAAATTTCTCACATGTGTGGTCAAATTTTATAGTTTTCACTCGAGTTTTCATTATATCAAACAGCCTCTGAGAAATGTTTTCAACTCAAAATGCCTTTAATTATGTTTGACTACATCATTAAAAAGGGTCTTCAAATACATCAATGTGATATTTGTCTAAAATTTGCGAAAGAATCCGAATCTCTGGATAACTCGAAATTATTTACCCATTTAAAAGCCTTTGATCATGAAAATGGAAAAATTTGTTAATTTTATTTACAGGCTGGAAAAATTATTTATATTAAATTTTGATGAGTTTTGCACTGAAGAAAACATTCAGAGGCTGTTTGATATAATGAAAACTATAGAATTTGACCACCTATGTGAGAAATTTCCTCTTATTTATATCATTAAATTATTTATTAGATTGAAAATATTTTATGCATTAAAGTTTACAAAAAATAAAGATTTATATAGTCGAAAAAAGTCCGATAGAACTAATAGAAATGTAACTATTTTGTCACATCTTTAATTAAATTTTGTTAAATAAATTAATTTTTTATACTATAAATATCTTTTTTTTCCTAATCTCCGACGAGCTGATATAATATGACGAGCAATCTATTAAATTACTGTGAGATTATACAGAAAAGTCCACAGACTTCGAGGCATAGAAAAATCAAGTCCATTTAGCGTGTGTCCTAATTTTGACAAGTTTTCAAAAATGACAGTTTTGTTTAGACTGACGTTTAATTTCACCTGACTTCTCGGTGAATTATTTCTTTTTATGGGGGTACATAAAATCTAAAATTTACGGCCATGAAGAAATTCAAAACTTGGAGCAGTTAAGGCAGAAAATATTTAATGCCTTTGACACTGTCACCCCTGATATGTTATCCAATGTGAGGAGGGATTTTATGATCGTTTGGGTTATTGTTTAATGCAAGAGGGAGGCACTTTTGAACAATTTTTGTAATTTTTTAAATTTCATTATCCTGTTTTTTTACCGTTTACCCATTACCTACCTTGACGAACATGGGAAAACGAAGGTCCTTTTCAGGACCACAAATATTTTGATTGAGAAAATTGGTAACTTTTTTTTGGATTAAAAAACAAAAGTTGTTAATATAATACCAATTTAAAAGTGTTTTGGTAGTTTTAATACACACTATGATATAAAATTTATTATTATTATAATGTACATTATTAATACTATTGTTCATTCGAAATGGCATTAAGGCCCAATTGCAACAATGATTTAAATTTTTCTTAAAGATAAGTAGAGCTTAGAATGGGCTGTATTTATATTTACTTTAATATTCACCTTAAATGAGGGAATTTGACTGATACAATTTTTGAATTTGAATTGTTTTTAATGATATTAACAATTTTAGTTCAATTTTTAATAAAATTTATTTAATATTAATAGAAATCCAAGGGATTTGAAACCTCTTTTAGCGATTTATAACATTCTCAAATGAATTACAGGTGCCCTTATTTTGAATGAAAATCACACAGCTTTTTTCATAGTCGCTGCAGTTGCTATAGCTATAAAAAACTAATTTTTTAAGGTGTGAAAATTGCGACACACGCTAAATAGACTTGATTTTTCGTATGTCTCGAAGTCTGTAGACCTTTTTGTATGCCTCGATAACATATTGGTGCAGATTATTTTCACCCAAACAAATAATAACCCAAACTATACATTGATGCGGATTGTCTATGAACTCTTTCTGAAGGTCACAGAAACCTGAACGCGTAATTCGGTGTTCTTTCGCATCTGTTGTAGTTAATTTGTGCTTAAAGTTGCTAAACTGATTGGTTTTGATGCTTATGCTCGTGGGTGCTCCGCACCCACTAATTTTCTCTCGTGAGTGCTTGAGCACCCGAGCACCCACGCAGTCGGCGCCCCTGGGAACATATATAGTTAAAAAGTAACGAATTGAAAAACCTTTTCATTAGTGAAATAAAAAAGTGGGTTTCCATTTGAAAAAAAATATTTGTGATAATTTTTTAATCGCTCAATTCCATGACAGCTATCGCCATTATTATATGACATTTGAACAATTTAATTTTTGAAATAGATAGCCACATGTCTTCTCTTTATGTCACAGTGGCTGTGGTAATCACTAAATTTTACTTTTAGGCTATACAAATTTTTTTGACAGGTAGTTTTTTTCGTCCAAAAATTTTTAATATGTTTTTCTCAAAAACGGTTAATATTAGGTATAGAGTGTTAACATCAATATTACTAGAGTTTTACAGAGAATTTAAGTATGTAATAAAAAATGGGGGCACCCATTTAAAATAAGAAACTTGCTGTCAACTTCCGGTATTTCCGGAAGTGCCGCCATATTGAAAATATTTTTAATCGATAGATCTCGTTATAAAACAATGATGTGCAAAAACTCTCCGATCTAGGTATTGTGGTTCTCTAGAAACTTCTAATGCACGCTCAGCCTGGAACACCCTGTATACTATACTACAGAGCGATTAACAGTGATTGAAATATTTGACTATTCTGATTTTGTTCCTTTGGTTGGCAATGAATTTAAGAAATTCGAATATTTATCACTTATTGGCGTTAAAACAAACTAAAATTTAAATAATATGATTAATTTCTTGACGATATTTAACTTCGTTTTTCATTGTAATCTGAGTCTGATCAAAACGAGATTAGAAATAAATACATTAAATTAATCTGAAAGTTTTCTAACTTAATTATTGAATAACTGTATTAAGAATATATACACACACCGGAAAAGTCTAGGGATATTACAATTTTATCCAGCCATCGTCAGTAATTTTATTATTTGCATTTCTGATATAATAAAGTTAAAATAAACAAATAGTTTACAGGACGTATTGGAAATAAAAATGCGAAATTTTCCGAATTTTTCAAATTTACCTTGATTTTTATTGAACTCAGGAAAATACACACATTTTTTTTTATTCTAAACTGTGAATTAAAAAAAAAGATAAAACCATTTTTACTTAATAAAGGGTATGGCCTCCTCTACTGTTCATTACAGCCCTACATCGTCTCTCCATGCTCCTGATCAGGTTGTCGATCTCTTCTTGAGGTACAGCCTGCCACGCTGCATTCACGGCCCGAACCAGATCCCTACGAGTTTCACGAGGCATACCCATTCTCAAAATTCTTCTTTGGACTGCGTCCCATACGTGCTCGATGGGGTCAGGAGATTGTGCCGGGCAGGGGAAGATGTTTAATTGATGAGCATTGATAAACTCACTTACCACTCTGGCTGTATGAGGCCGTGCATTGTCATGCATGAGAATGAAGTTTCTCCCAAAATCATTGGCATATGGTAACACGACAGGCTCAAAAATTAAATCACGATATGTGATTCCTGTTAGAAACCTTTCAAAATAAACGAGATCGGTTATTCGGCCTAACTGGACTCCTCCCCAGACCATAACTTAAACCTTGATAAGGGTTCACTTCCTGAACATGATCCAATCGAATAAGATTTCCCGGTTCTCTCCATACCCTAAGCATTCTCGAATCCGGATGAATTCCAAAGCGTGACTCATCCGTGAAGAGAACATTGGCCCATTGCTCATTCGACCACTGAACATGATCTTGAGCCCACAAATATCGTACCTCTCGATTTCCTCTCGTTAAGGGTTGAACTCTCCAGGGGCGTCTGCTTCTTAAGTTCACCTCTCTTAATTTATTGCGAACAGTGTCAGGACTAATGGTTACATTATGTGTTTCCTGGAGAATTAAACTAAGCTCTGGTGCTGTAAGAGTCGGTCGGCGTCGAGCATTTAATTGTAAAAAATGATCTTGCTGAGGGGTAGTAATGCGATGTCGCCCTGTGTGTCTTTTAGCAACATCACCACTTTCACGGTAGCGTGCACTTAATCGCGCGATATTACACTTTGCGTTGTATTTAATACTCTAGCCACGTCGATTTGGCACATTCCAGCTTCGAGCATACCCATGGCCCTTAGTATTTCGTCTCTGTTAAGATGTCTACGCTCCATAATGTCGTTTAATACTAAACAGAGTTATTTGAATGAATTCTGGCCGGTTATCATAAAAATATAGCCAATACAGGTTAAATTCGAACAATTGATGCTAGGTGCTTTTTATACATTTGACAAAAAATGCACAAACACTTCTGCAAATATCCCAAATTTAGAAATAACTAGTGTGACTACTTCGCTTCAATCGAAGTAGAAAGAATCCGCCTACAAATATGTAGTTGTTTATTCAAAACATTTATTTTTAACTTTAATAAAATGATATCCCTAGATTTTTCCGGTGTGTGTAGTTCATACCAAATAGACTTTTAGTCACGTGATTAAGCTTGACCGGCACAGCGTTGCCCACTTTTATATATTTTCTTTTAATCAAAATATTTTAGGAAAAAAACAATTAATTATAAATATATAAACAGTTATTATTTACATCAACAAAACTTACCTTCCTAACAGCACTTAAGGGACATAAACGGCCATTACTACCGCTTTTCCATTCAAAATATTCTAATAAAGTTGCGATGAGTTTTTTGCAACGGCTATTAAGCTATCTTGTACACTTCGCAATAAAAGAGGTTCTAAAAAGGACAATGTTCGACTGCAAAGTCTGGTAGTAAACATTTTTAAGCTTAAAGTATCACAAACACTATTTATTTAAACCAATAACTGGTAATACGAAACTAAAGTGTCAAAATGAATGACAGTGACAGGAAGTAAATAAATAAATGTGGCAACTTGGCAGTTTTTACAGCAGAGCTACCACCTGAATTCCTAGTGGGAAATTTTAATTCCAGTTAGTCAGCCCGGCACCGATTATATCCATGGTTGGCAACAATGAATTTAAAAATCGCGCCTAAAAAACTATTTCAATTATTGTTGATCGCTCCGTATAAAAGTTATTGTATAATTGTCACCACCGAAATCCTGAAATGTGTATGTCACCACTAATTGTCACTACCAGAAATATCATATTTAAGTAAAAAATTATTTGGTTTTCAGTGGTGATAATCCTACAAAGTTGCAGAAATGTTAAGTACTTTTTTTTCTAAAGTAAATGTATGTTTGATTGATTTTCAGTTGGAGATAAGTACTCGTGCAAACGTTGCTCAAGAACTTACTCCCATCCGACCAGTATGCGCAAACACATCAAGGAGTACTGCCCGTACTTGAAGGAGTTCAAGTGTTCGGATTGTGACGCGATTTTTTCCAGCAGGGCTTCCTTGATGGACCACCGCGTCAACGTTCACTATGTTAAACAGGATGAACAACAGAACAAGAATGTGAAGGAATCGAATGAGGATTATGAGAATGAAATAAAAATAGAAGAAGAAGAAGTGCTACATTGAAGCTTGTGTAGAGGGTGTTTCAAAACAAACGCCAAAAAACCTAATGTCTAGACGATTTTGATCTTATTAGCATTAAAGTGTGTTTTCATTATTACTAGATATTTTATTTTCACTTGTCCCAAACCTATTATACAGGGTGGTGCCTCAGCATTGGAAATATCCCATGCAAACTTTGAACTCTCCAAATTAGAGCTGGACAAAGAATGAACGAGTATTAAAAATGCATCGTGAGATTCGATACACTGCTTAGAATACGGTTCGTTGAATTGAATCGCGGCCAACAGGGATTAACAAAATATGATAATAATAATAATAATAATAAATGCCTTTAGTGTCAAAAAAAATTACAATTTGTAGACAATGGTAAGGTAAACAAACAAAGTAAACAAACAAGGTACACAAACAAACAAACAAAAGATAATACAAAACATTATACAAATAATATTGTCTTATTGTCATTTATAAATGTTTATAATGTCAAAGAATAAAAAAAATAAAAATAATATTCAAAAATATTTAGTTAGTTTGTAGTAAATATCAATGACCTCTAAATAAATTTATTTCGGTGTCGTTGGTAAATATAGCAATAGCAAACATTAGACCAATGTTTACAAGATCAAATTCGATTATCAAAATATAATTCATTTACGGCGTAGAAAGCCTTGTCTAGTAAATAAGAGTTCAATGCTTTGCGAAATGAAGAAAATGATGTTATGGATTTGATTTCAAATGGCAGGTGATTGTGCATTTTTTTCGAGATGTATAATATTGAACTTTTAACTAACTCTGAGCGTGGGGTAGGTAGATAAAAATCTTGCTCCGCGTTCCTGAGTGGATAAGTGTGAGATGGCCTTTCTTAAGAAGCTGATACATGCTTACGTATTAGGCAAACGGATTCAAATATAAATAAGGAAGGAAGAGTTAATATTTTTAATTTTTTAAAAAAGTCCTGGCAATGAGTTCTGCTGTTTAGTCCCAGTGAATATTGAACAGCTCTCTTCTGGAGCTTAAAAATGCGGTCAAATTGAGTCGCACAACACGTACCCCAGAATGGAAGGGCATACCTGAGGTGCGACTCAAAAACTGCATAATAAACAGTTCTAACCACTGACAAGTTAAGCTCCTTAGAAACAGATCTTAATGCAAAACAGGCAGAGCTCAATTTTTTTCGATAAAGCTTCGATATACATGTCCCATTTCAGAGAATTGTCTACAACAAGCCCTAAGAATTTTACAGATTTTACGACGTCAATGGTGGTGTTGTTAAGTACAAAAGGCTGCAGCGAGTTTTTATACGACAAAGCTTTAGTTTTAGAAATGTTGAGACTCAGGAGGTTCGAATCGCACCAAGATTTAATGATGATTAAGTCATTTGATATAATCCTATGAAGTGCCGTGACGTCCTTGTTGCTCCAAGTGAATCTAGTGTCGTCCGCAAAAAGACATATTTTGCCACTGATTTTTATGTTAGCAATGTCGTTAATAAAAAGAAGAAAGAAAATAGGTATATATGAACAATATATATATGAACGATGAGCCGTAAAAAAGAGTCGTGAGAATTGAATCGGACTACAATGCGATCGTTCGTTTCTACGGCTGGTTCGTTCAAAGAGTCGTGAGAATTGATATATTGCTTACAATACGGTTCATTCAATTGAATCGTGGAGTCGTAAGAATTGAATCGGATCACAATGCGACTAGTTCGTTTCTACGGCGGTGATATAGGCATAGAGAGAGTCTGGCACCAATATTTAGACTTGAACGAAAGCCCTAAACAAAGATAATGGGCATAAAATGCAAACGATAAGAAAGCTATTTACAGGAAAAAACTTACTTATACTGTGCTTAGTGCGGGAGTATCTGTATAAAGCATTTAATTTTAACGTTAATATTTTTGTTAAAATAATATTTACCGACTATAAACCATTAAATGTCGGATTAAAAAACGAAACCGTGTTTTTATGCAACTGCAAATAAATATGGCTTCTGTTCAATGTGATAAAAAAAAGCGACGTCGGCGATAGCTATGAAATGAAAATCGCTGTCATTTTATATATGTAAAATTTTATGGGGAATGTCATCGATGTTCATTTCCAAGTTAACTGGACGCCATTTTTTTTATCATGCAGTATTATACACAATTTATTATATGATTATTAAATCGGTTTTAAAATATGCTTTAAAATTATTAAATTGGTATTTAGAAGTTTTTAATAAATACAGTAAAACTTCCATATAGCGGCCACAAAAATTTTCAAAGGAATGTGGCCGTTAAGGGAAGTGGCCACTATTGGGAACAATAAAATACAGATACCAATGTAAAATGCCTTTATTTTGGAAACGTGCAAAGTAATTACAATTAAGTACGAGCATGTAGTACAAACACACAATAAGTGTTAATAAATGATCTTCAGTTTTAGATTTTTGGCACAAAAAAATAATTCAGTTGTTACAAAAAACTTTATTACATAAGAATTTTTGAAAAAAACTTACAATGTATACATATGTATTTTACACATAGGTATTCTTATATACATATGTACAATTGACTTTAAAAAGTTACAAAATGATAACCTTATTTATATGGTGAAAAACTGATTAATGGTAGTCTGCTTTAAATTTTTAATTTTGATTTTTGTAATTTCACTTTCAAATTTCATCAAAGTATGGGCAATATCAACCGCTAGTTCGTCTTTGTTTTGAATCACCAAAAAATTCTGAATGTCTCTTAATTTTTCACATACTTCACTCATATTATTTATAGATGAACACAGAATGTCTTGGCCTTCATCTTCTTCCTCTTCGGCTTGAGTGGAGTCCTGTCTGTCCTTGTTGTTTGTAAATTCCTGGATTATTCCCTGCATCTCTAAACTAGGATTTTCCGTAGGGACATCTGAATCGACTGTCAGATATTCTTTAAGATCTGGACTTCCTGGCATGTTTTTTAAAATTGAAGATAACTGACTTAAAGGAATGTCGTCCTCTTCGTCAAATGCATCGTCCCCTTTGACGGTTGCAAATCCCGCTTTTTGGAAACATTTTTTTATAGTGTTCGATGTAACATTTTTCCATGCTGTACTTATCCACACCATAGTACTTGCCAAATTTATGCTCTCTTTAGCCTTTTCCATCGTTTCTTCGGTATTAGTAAAAGTCAAAAGTCTTTTAATAAAAAATTGACGATATTTTAATTTAAAATTTTGAATAATTCCTTGGTCCAACGGCTGGCAATGAGATGTCGTATTTGGAGGAAAAAAAATTATACGAACATTTTCAAGTTCTATTTTTGGGTGAGACGTGGCATTATCCAAAAATAAAAGAACTTTTCTACCCTGCCGTTTCATTTTGGTGTCAAAGGTTTTGAGCCAAGATGTCATTATATCTGTCGTCATCCAAGCTTTTTTGTTGGATACCCATTCTATCGGCAATTTATCTACATGCGCTCCTTTAAAACATCTCGGGTTTTTGCTCTTACCTATAACTAGCGGATTTTCCTTCTCACCATGCATGCTGCAACAGAAAAGCAGTGTCACTCGTTGTTTAGCTGATTTTTTGCCAGCACATTTATCATTCTTTAAAGCAAAGGTTTTGTTTGGCATTGCCATATAATAAAGCCCTGTTTCGTCTGCATTAAAAATGTCTTTAGTGTCGTATTCCTTAATGATTGCTGTTAATTTTGTTTTCCAGTCTTCAACAGTCACTTCATCCACATCTGCAGACTCACCACAAATTGTTTTGAAGTTAATATTATGTCTCTTGCAAAACTTATTTAACCAGCCAGTTGAAGCCTTAAATTCACTAAGTTTCAAGGATGTAGATACCTCAAGAGCTTTTTCCCGAATTAAGGTTCCCGATATGGGTATGTTTTTGTTCCTTGCCTTACAAAACCATTCGTAAACTAGTTGATCGATTGCAAATCCTTCTGTTTTAGGAAACTTTCGTTTTTTATCTGCATTGCATCCTTCTTCTTCAAACATTTTTTTTAATTCCACTTTGTTTTTTAAAATGTCGTTCACTTGCGTTCTTCCAACACCAAACTTTTCCGCCAACTTTCGAGCACTGCTGTTATATTTTTCACTTTCCGCGACAATATTTAATTTCTCTTTAATAGACAAACGTTTACGTTTCAAAGACATGGTTGCTGTTCTTTCAGAGTAAGAAACTAAACTGATTCTATATCTCCCAAAAATTTCAGCAAACTACTGACGAATTTGTATTGTATTTGTCACTCTCTGTACCTATTTCTCAAACAAATTATAAATGTTTATTGCTTGGACTTTCCTAAAGTGTCCTGAAACAGCTCTTGTTAGACAAAAAAAAAGGTTCGAAGGGTTCGGTTTTTGGCCGGTATTGGGGCAATAAATTTAATGGGTTTTTCCCTAAAATGTACCTTTGAAGCGGCCGGTGACCGCTTTCGGAATTAACGTTATTGAGAAATATTTTAATATAGGAATTCCCCTAAGATTAATTCAAACAACTGAAAATTGACCGCTAACAGAAGTGACCGCTTTTTAGAAGTGGCCGAAATGGGAAGTTTTACTGTAGTATAATATATGAATTGGATTGATAATTTTATATTATTTGTAAAAAAATCAATCCAATTACGCCAGTGCCATAAAATGTCATAAAATAAATGAAAGAACTATATATTTCTTTTTCTGGTCCCTTAAGTAATTGTCCGACCAAATTATCACCGGTAGTGCCAGTTACGATTTATGTTTTTATGAAACGTAAATTGTGCATGTGATTCGTTCAAATGAACGAATCGTAGGAGTCGATTCAATATGAGAAATTGAATCGTGTGATTCGATTCACTAAAAGGAATCGTAATGCCCATCACTAGTCCAAATATTGGCTCCCTTATTGATTTTACAGCGAAGTGGTAAATAGGTTTTTTTAAAAGTTTGGGTATGCTGAAAACACGTGCCAAATTTGAACAGGTTTAGTTTTAGCAAGCTGTTTTTAACTAATTTAGGATGCATTTGAAACGATATTTTTGCGATTTGTCAAATATATCGTGGAGGAGTGCCCTGAAACAGCTTATCGACACCAAAAGATTTCCTATTGGCGACTCAGAATCAATAGACTATACAGGGTGGTCCGAAGTGTATTCCGGAAACTTCGGCAGCATATTCTGCAGATAAAAATAAGTAAAAAAGTTCGTATAAATGTACGTCCTAATAGCTAATATTTTTATTTCGATTTTTTCCAAATAATTTCTGAAGTAACGTCAATATTTTGATGAAAATTGGTGTCTGGGAGTTTTTTGACATGAGAAATTTGATTTTGATGTCCATATGACTCCTACTTGTAGAGGGCGCCAACTACATATTTTTAAACTGGTTTGAAGAGTAATAACTTGTCCGTACCTGTATAAAACTACTGAGTTAAAAAATATACATTTACAAAGTTTTTTTACGTAAAAAAGATCTCTTGATAAAAATCGCTACGAGTAATGGTTCTCAAGATATTTGGAATATAAACTATCAATACCTGTCATCATTGACATAAAATAAACATTTTGACTAAGTAGCTATTAGACTGAAATCATAAATTTGAAATGTTTTTGTGTCAAAAGTTTAACAGAAACTGTTTTATCATCATTTTTTCGAAGAAAAATGTACGATTAATTAAAAAAAAATGAAAATTTCTTAAATTTCTTATTTCAGTCAAATAACGGTCTGTCCAACGACAAGATCGCTGACACTGATAGATGTGTCTGTCATTTTAATTTCAAAGTAGTTTATTTTATTTTACAAAGAAATAAGTTGGTACAACTGGAAATCATAGAGGGAAATTAATATATTTAAAATTTGACTGATAAGTGATTACTTCAAAATATTGCGAAAAAAAACTGTATAAAACTGAAAAAATGCAATCGAGTTATTTTATTTGAAAAAAATATTTTTATTTATATTTATCAATATAACTTGTGTACAAATACAAATTTGTAATATTCCACAGGAATTAATAAAACAACATAAATAAAACGAACTATTTTATTAATAATAACACTTACCAAATTTTATACCTTAAAGGTTGATTAATTAACTTTAATCTTAATTTTTTTAAACCAGTACCTTTTGACATTATTTTTCTGCAGTACTAAAATCCATTATTTACCTATCGTGTGATGTCGATATTTTACAGCTACTCCAGTTTTTAGTATGTGTTTAGTATGGTCCTATGTTCGAGATGCACTTATCTACGACGAGATGGTATACGAACTTTATTGATGGTAACTTTATTGGTGTATAAGACTTTCTGCCTGGGCAGCGAGTATTAACTATAAACTGTGCTCTGGGTCTACAGTTAATTGTTCCTCGATTTTTCCTCCACTTGACTTCAAAAGACACAAAACACACGTAATAACACGAATCAAAATGCATCATCTTCCAAAACGCAGATATTTGACATAGGTTGGCGCAAAATTATAACCTATAATTTGGCAAGACTTTGACAAGCCTCAGAAATCTAAAGGCGAGTTCATACACATCGGCGTCCGTTTGTCGGTTATCGTTCCGTCAAACCAATAAAATTGAAATATCATGTGTCATTTTTGAAGTAAACCAATAAAACTGGTTAAAAACAACAAGAGATGACGTATGACGGATTTATATTTAAACCCATCCATAGTTAACTTAAAAAATATTAGAATTTTTTTAGGGAAATAAATAGATTGGTAATATGGGACGTAATCTGCTTTTCTTCTGTCATCGTCTGTCTAAATCTTACCTGAGAAAAAAAAACAGAGTATATCTACTCAACGTGTTTATTTTTTTGTCAATATTGACATGTATTGACTATTTCCATTTAAAATATCTTAAGAACGGTTGCTCGTAGCGATTTTTACAAAGAGACATTTTTTGCGTAAAAAATCACGGAAATGTATATTTTTTTCACTCAGTAGTTTTATACAGGTATGGACGAAAAGTTATTACTTTTCAAAACAAGTAAAACACACGTAGGTGGCGCCCCCTACAAATAGGAGTCATATTGACATCAAAATCAAGTTTCTCATGTCAACAAACTCCCAGACACTAATTTTCATCCAAATGTTGACGCTACTTCAGGAATTATTTGGAAAAAATCGAAATAAAAATGAAACTTCTACATCCCGTATCTTCGAAACAAAGCTTTTTAGGGCATACATTTATACGAACTTTTTTACTTATTTTTATCTGCAGAATATACTGCCGAAGTTTCTGTACCCCCTGTATACATTTGTTAAATGTTTGTATTCTTGTTTCTTTTTGTCATACACGTACTTTGTGTCTTAAAATGGTCATACGCTAAATGAAAATAAATAAATTTAACTACATATATCGATTTTTTTCAGACGGTACTGTACACGTGTGTCCCAATTGTTTAAAAACGTACTCTCACAAACGTAGTTTGGATAGACACACGAAATACGAGTGCAGTTGTAAGAGACAGTTCCAATGTCCTCAGTGCAATAAAAGTTTTTCACAGAGAGGAACTCTGTTCAAACATCAGGTTTCTATTCACAAGACGTCTCCGAGCGGACAAAAGAAAAAGTACTCGTCAAATGGAGCGAGTCACATAGAAAATTGGCACGAAATTGTAAAAGGTACTATAGAACATAATGATTCAGTGTTTAACTTTTAGGAATGTTACCACTGAAACTCTTTAGTACTAAAATATCTCCTTTTCTGTAGTACAGGGTGTCCCATTTTCGTGTATTTTACGAGGTATCTCGCTTATGTGTACAGATACAAAGATGTGGTTTTCACATCACTACAGAAAACTACATAAAACACGCTGTATAGGGGACACACTGTACAGAGTGTCCCATTTTGGTTAAAACCATACGGTATCTCCGTTATTAGTGAAGATCGAAGGGTGCGGTTTGCACAAACCCATCCTACTTTTTTGTCAAACGAAAGATGCTGTAAACAAAATTTTATAGTCCTCTTTGTTTCTGAGCTACAGGGTCTTTTAAAAAATTTTGCAATTTGGGACACCCCCGTATCTCTGTTATTGTGAAAGGTATCGAGAAGATGAAAACTGTTTATTGTAGAACTTTTTACGTAGAATACAGTGGTGTAGTATGCTATTCTACGAAAAGTATATTTTTAAAGACATAAACTAAAGTTATGTTTTCTTAAATGGAACACCCTGTATATTTATGAATTATATGACCTGGCTTGCCATACGCTTCTCAAAAATATATATCACTCTATATTTATTTAATGGAAAATAAATTTCTTGCAGTTTTTAGGTATATAATAAAATTATATAAGAGTTTCTTGCCTTGAACTGCTAATATAGAAATTAATTCCACGCTGTGTTCGACATAATGTGGATCAACCTGCTGTCACTACCGGTTTCGGGGCCCTACCCCATCATCAGGTGAGCTTGGGTCGTTTCCACAATATGTCGAGCACAGCGCAGAGTATATAAATACGACTTGTCGTAAAGTAGCGGTAAGATATTAAGTCCCGCATCGCGAGATAGCGGCCTGCAATGGTAGTACTTTCGTACCACTGAGGCACAACTATCGATAGTAGTTAAAGGCTTTTTTCGGCTAGCCCAAATTATATAATAGAAAATAAATTTCTTGCAGTTTTTAGGTATATAATAAAATTCTATAAGAGTTTCTGTGGAAACGACCCAAGCTCATCTGATGATGGGGTAGGGCCCCGAAACCGGTAGTGAGAGCAGGTTGATCCACATTATGTCGAACACAGCGTGGAATTAATTTCTATATTAGCAGTTCAAGGCAAGAAACTCTTATATAATTTTATTCTATATTTATTTTTACTATTTACTGCAATAGTTAAAAGTTTTCATTAAAAAATCATTTTTATTAGTATGATAATAAAAGAAGCTAAAGAATTATTAAAAGTAAACTGCTATATGTCTCTTGTTATATTTTGGGAGCCACTAATAAATTCTTTATTATATCATAGAAACTTAACTCTTTACAGCTATTTTTAAATTTTGGAAGCAATCGTACCGGAACTTTTAGATATTTCCTTTGGATAATTTACGTGAAATATACTTTCAGCAAGATGGGTTTCCCCTTCATAACTTTGAAAATATTAGAATTTTGTTAAATGGCTATTTCCCAAATCAATAAATTGGTACCAATGAACCCATACGATAGCCCCCCTGATCTCCTGATTTGTCCGTTCTCGATTTTTGTATTTATGGATATATGAAATATATCGTGGCAACTACGACAATGTTGAAGACTTGGAAAATGCTATCAGGCAAGCTTTTAGATATTTGCAAACCCATCCCGTTATAATAAATCCCGTCATAAAAAAAGAAGAAAAACATATTCAGAGATTCAGTGGTAATAGTTTAAAAGTAAAATATTTTAGTCTCAAATAACATTTTATTTGAGGCTAGACTAGAATAACTTTTTAGTAAAAACCATTTTGATTTTTTTGTTATCTATCGCGGCCTATTAATAAGAAAATGATACCTTTTAAATATTGCAGTAAATTGTGAAAATAAATATTGAGTATGTATATATACAGGTTGTTCCATTTGAAAAAACACAAGAAGTGTAGTTCTTATTTACAAAAATATTTTTTTTATTAGAAAAATAGATTACACTGTATTCTACGTAGAAAGTTCTACAAAAATCGGTTTTCACCTTCTTGATACCTTTCAGATAATGAAGATACGGGGGCTGTCCCAAATTACAAAATTTTCAAAAAGACCCTCCTTCCAAAAGGAGAAATCTTCCGTTTGGCAATAAAGTGGGACAGGTTTGTGCAAACCGCATCCTCCTATCGTTACGAATAACGGAGATACTGTATGATTTTAACTAAAATAGGACACCCTGTACAAACTACTTGAAAATTGAAAACAAATATTTTGATTATTTGAAGTTTTTTGTCCCAGTGGTTATATTCATCGAAATTTGCAGAAATTTAAGTTCTTTTTCACCTAAGTAAATAGCATTTTTGCTCTGTTTTAGTTGGAGGTATGTACTCATGCAAACGTTGCTCAAAAACGTATTCCTATGTGGGCAATTTGCGCAGACACCTCAAGCACGAATGCCGCTACTTGAAAGAGTTTAGGTGTCTGGAATGTGGTGAAATTTTCACCACTATAAGTTCTTTGAAGGACCATCGAGTCAACGTTCACCTCACACAACTTGAACTGGATGAACAATCAAATAGGAACATAAAGGAAATGTATGAAGATTATTATTATGATCCATAAGTAATAGGTCATAGCAAATAAACTTTTAGTCACGTGACTAAGCTTGACCAGTGTTGCACAGTGTTGCCCACTTTTACATATTTTCTTTTAATCAAAATATTTTAGTAAACAAAAATATATTAATTATAAATCTACAAACAGTTGTGATTTACATCATCAAAATGCAACTAAAAATTTAATTGATATCGCTTACACAGGGCCGCTATTATACAGGGTCGCTATAGTATGGAAACGGTCGATTATTAGCAAAATTACAGTATCAGCAAAAAATAATCAAACAACGAATACATACCATATATTTTTCTTTTATAGGTGCGTATTCATTGTCCGAACGAACGAAAGAACGAACGAACGAATGAAAGTGCGGTATATTTAGACGGGGACCGAACGCATGCGGCCGTTCGTTCGTTCGTTCGTTCGTTCGACCATCCGTTTCGAGTCGGTACATCAAAGGCGTTCGCCAACAAATGCCTCCGGTCTTCTCGTGCGGTTCTATCGTACGGTCCCCGTCCATACCACTAGCGAACATTCGTTCGTTCGTTCGCTCGACCATCCGTTTCAAGTCGGTACATCAAAGGCGTTCGCCAACAAATGCTTCCGGCCTTCTCGTGCGGTCCCCGTCCATACCACTAGCGAACATTCGTTCGTTCGTTCGTTCGTTCGTTCGTTCGTGCGGATAATGAATACGCACCTTAAGATACATACCTTATCGTCTTTTCGAAACACGTGCATTTTTGCAGTTTTGTTAGTTTCTTTGCAAGATGCAACACAACAAGAAGACACCATTTTTACAGTTAATAAATAATAAAACTCTTTCTGGCTATGATATTTAAAATTTAGATAAATAGAAAATTAAGAAACAAACCAGTATTTGCAGACGCAGGCCCAAATTCAATAAAAATCAAAATTTTTCCTGCGAAAATCAGGCTTTTTTCACTGAAAAGGTATTTTTTGATTTATCAACAGTCATTGTCAAGTTAACAATATACAGGGTGTTTTCGAATTAGTCTAAAAAAATTATGGTGTGATTCCTCATGTGTTTTTAAAACAATTTTTATATAACCATTGAGCCTAAAGTACTTCCTTTCTGATCTACAGGGTGTTAAAAATTAAAAAAAAATAATCTACTATTAAGATAGATATGAAACTCAATAGTAAAATTTTTGGTCAAAGCGCCCCTAAAATAATTAATTTTTTTTCTCAACATAAATGGTACACCACTGCTTTTTTAAAGAAAATATATTTTTTTCTTGACTGGCCATCCTTCTTTAACAAAATTGATCTTTTGAGTTCTTCTTGTGCATCAAACAGAAAAAAATAAATATACTTATTAAGAGCCCGCCTTAATTCGTTTTATAACGATTTTTTATTTTTTAGATTAATTAGGAAACACCCTGTATATGCATATCACAGGCAACCAAATAAACTAGTAACCTCTAAAAATTATTTTCCTACCACTAGCGACATACCGTGTTTTTAGTATGTACTAAATTATTTTATCAAAATTTCACCATATAAGTTTCCAGGCAATGGTCATAAAGTTGTGGCACATCAAACTTTATTTTTTAAATAAAACCCCTTGTATATTATTGCATATTTCAATTCTTCCTTCAATTTTAGGCAATATCTTGATATAAGTAATCTCATTTTATACATCTAATAATACTAACTTGAAAACTAATGTCAAATATTATTAAGTATCATAGTTTCCGCAGAATGGTATCGTTAAATGAAACCAAACACATCGAAATTAATTAAATCAAATTTTTTAAGTGGTATTTTCAAAAGTCAATAACTCGGAAACGGTTGGTTTGAGGTACATTTCGATATTTGCTTCAAATTGAAGGAAGAATGAAATATGTAATAATATACAGGGGTTCTATTTAAAAAAGTGCCACGACTTTATTCAAATTCAAATTCACATTCAAATTTCTTTATTAGACCCCATTAAGTTTTACAGAATAATATTAGTATTAATAAATGTGTGTCTAAAGGGATCGCACCGCGATTAAAAAACCGATACAATGGCACAAAGTGCCAGAATGGTGCGACCCCAAATACAAAATAGAAATAAATTAAAATACAAAAATAAACAGAATTAAAAAAATTAAAATTATATAAAAAAAAGTGAAAATATAATTTTATCAGGGATGAGCGGAGATAAGCAGAGAGGCATAATGAAACAGTGTAAAAACCGGAACAGCAACCAATGACGGGCATATCAGAAGAACAAGATCTCACAAATCAGTTGAAGAAATTATAATATTTACGAATTTAGTAAATGATTTTTAATTTGTTTTTTATAATCTGTAAAGGATTTAAAGTTATTAGAAATATTATTCCACAAATGTGGCGCTATGAAACTGAAAGATTTTTAGAAGTTAGCTGTTCGGTGTTGAGGAATTTTAAAATAATGCACTTGTCTAGTCGAATGGTCATGGTCAACGTAGTGAAACAATGAGAACAAATAGGGAGGCTGCTCTGTAGTTAAAATTCGATAAATGAATGTCATTAAATGAAATTGTCGTCTGTTAGTCATGGATAAAATAGATAAATTTTTAAGATGTGGCGTTATATGATCTCTAAAAGGAATGTTAAAAGAAAACCGTAGACACGAGCTTTGAAGTATTTGGATTTTTCTAGAGAATCTAGCGTTTATGGATGTACCATAAACAACATCGCCATAATCAAATAAAGATAAAATAAGTGTGTCACATAATTGATACTTAGTCTTTGATGGTATATATTTCTTAAGAGACGAACAATTCTTCAACCCTATATAAGCAGCCTTTAATTTAGTAGTTATATGTGCCTGAAAAGAAAGCTTCGCATGAAAATAGACTCCAAGATTTTTAGTCTCTGTAACAATGGGTATCGCTACATTATCTATATGGATATTCATGTTATCAGCCGTATTTGTAATTTTGTTTATATCACTACCAAATACTATAACACAAGATTTACCGGCATTTAATTTCAAATTATGATCCAGAGCATATTTATTAATTTTATTAAGATCGTCGTTAAAATTTAACTGAAATTGTGCCAAATTATTAGTATCTATTTTGCAATAAATTTAAGAATCATCTGCATATTGCTGCAATTTAGAAAACTGTAATTCCTTATCCATATCAGCTACATATAACGAAAATAAAAATGGCCCCAGAATAGATCCCTGAGGAACCCCAGAAATCATAGGAATATAACTAGATTTTTGTTTTAAACTTCCCCGTTTCATGACAACACATGTGATCTATCTTTTAAAAGGTTTTTTATCAATTCTAAAGAGCCGTCTGAAAATCCAAAATACTGTAATTTTGCTAGGAGCAATGAATGGTCTAGAGTATCAAATGCTTTACTAAAGTCTAGTAAGCTAAGACACGTCATATTTTTATTTTCTTGATTTGTTCTAATATCATTAACCAGCTTTAGTAAACAAGTGGTAGTGCTGTAGTTCTTACGAAAACCAGATTGGCATTCAGGTATTAGTTTATTTGAATCTACAAATGAAACAATTTGATTATGTAGATGTTTTTCTATAATTTTAGAAATTGCTGGCAAAATACTCACGGGTCTTAGATCGTTGTTATTTAAAGGTTTGGAAATTTTACAGAGAGGTGTTATAATAGCTTTTTTCGATATTTCGGGATAGACATTGTCTAAAATAGAAGTATTAATTATATTTATTACCGCTTTACCACAGTAAGGCATGCACAGCTTTAGTGCTTTAATTGATAAATCATCTTCACCGACAGCATTAGACCGAATAGAATTTAATATTTGATGTAACGATACCTAATCTATTAGTTTGTAATTTAGAACATTATTATTAGAACATACTTTATGACAGACCCTATCTATTTAAATTTATTACTCGCTAATAGATATTTAAAAATCCTGTAACTTTTGTATTTAGCTTTTTGTTTTAACTTATAAAACAATGACCCTGTATAAGGGAATTTAATCAATAGGAAAATTAAATAAAAGATGGCGTGGACATCATCAAAATATCTGACGCAGTGACTAAATACATGTATTCTTTGTAGTCATGAATGTATTTTCAAAATTTTCAAAAAATCTCAAAATATAATGTACTTAACATATGTATTGTTTTCATATTACAAGGCGATCTAGTTCTCAAAAGCAGGACATTTTTAACAGTCATAAAAAGCTTATGTTAAATGTCAAGTTAGAGTGTCAGAAGTGGTTGATTTTAAAAATACAGGGTGTTGATATTGTCGAAAAAAAAGAGACTCTTGATAGAACTTGAAACTATTGAGATATTTAATAAAAAAAAAGAAGTTTTTTTCAACCCTGTATTTTAAAATCTCAAATTAACCACTGTTAAAGTCTTGCTGCCAAAAAGTGAACTATTCTGTACTTTACGTACTAGAGTATTGTTAGAGGAAGTATTATTAATGTAATATTTATTTAAAATATATGTTTTATATAAACCTACATAATTGCATTATTTTTTTATCGAAAAAAATCGAATTTTGTACTCTTCTTTTCCAAAAATATAGTGATACTAGCTTAGTATTTTTTTAGCTGTACCTTCACATACTTGCCCTAACTGCCTAAAGACGTACTCCTACAGGCACACTTTGCTAAGACACATAAAATTCGAATGTGGTGATGCACAACGGTTTATTTGTCCGATATGCTTCAAAGAATTCAAACAGAAATATGCTATGAAAATCCACCAAACCATGGTTCACCTGCGACCACCAAAAAAAGAACAGACAGGATGCGATCAGTCAGGTAATATTATTGTATATGAACGGTGGATGAACATGACTTAGTGGTTACAGGAATAAACAGGTTAAATACTTTTAGTAATATACAGGGTGGTCCGAACTGTATCCCGGAAACTTCGGTAGCATATTGTGCAAAATAAGTAAAAAAGTTCGTATAAATTTATGTCCTAAAATGCTTAGTTTCGGAGATACAGGGTGTAGATCTTTCATTTTTATTTTGATTTTTTCCAAATAATTTCTGAAGTAACGTCAATATTTGGATGAAAATTTCACACCTCTACTTTTCAACCAATAACATGCTTTAATGTTGACTAGTTACCATGGCAACTGAAAAAATTTCCGGAAATTTTTTCGAGGCGCCACGAAACTTTAGTGGAAATTTTTTGACAATTGAAAAGGTAAACATAAGATCTACAATCATAATGTGAATGAACTACAATGTCTATATATTGAAATATTACCCATTTGAGTTTTAGCATTTGATGTAACTAAAGTTGGTAATATTTTTTATTTAAGGAAATATGTTAGATATACCTACATATGAATTTCTTCGAAATTGCCATGTTCTAAAAA